GGAACCGCCTCCGAGCGGCGAGCCCGCCGAGCGCTCTCATGGCGGCCCCGAAGCAGTCCGAGGCCGGGCCCTTGGTGGGGGCCGTGGTCCAGGGCACCAACTCCTCCAGCTTCCTGGTTTTCAACTCGAGAACGGCGGAGCTGGTCAGCCACCACCAGGTGGAGCTGTCGCAGGAGTTTCCGCGCGAGGGGTGGGTGGAGCAGGACCCCAAGGAGATCATGAGGTCGGTGTACGAGTGCATAGAGGCGGTGTGCGCGCAGCTGGGCGAGCGCGGCCTGGCCGCGGCCGACGTCAAGGCCGTGGGCATCAGCAACCAGCGGGAGACCACGCTGGTCTGGGACAGGGCCACCGGGGAGCCCCTGTACAACGCCGTGGCCTGGCTGGACGTGCGCACGCAGGCCACGGTGGAGGCGCTGGGCAGGCGGATCCCGGGCCACAGCAACTTCGTCAAGTCCAAGACCGGCCTCCCGCTCAGCACCTACTTCAGCGCCGTGAAGCTGCGCTGGCTGCTGGACAACGTGGAGGCGGTGCAGGCGGCCGTGGAAGAGGGCCGCGCCCTGTTCGGCACCGTCGATTCCTGGCTCATCTGGAACTTGACGGGAGGCGTCGACGGCGGCGTCCACTGCACCGACGTGACCAACGCGAGCAGGACGATGCTCTTCAACATCCACTCCCTGGAATGGGACAAGCAGCTCTGCGGCTTCTTTGACATTTCCATGAGCATCCTTCCCACCGTCTGCAGTTCGTCCGAGATCTACGGCAACGTGAAAGCTGGGTCCCTAGAGGGGGTGCCGATATCGGGGTGCCTGGGGGACCAGTCTGCTGCGCTGGTGGGACAGATGTGCTTCCAGGAAGGACAGGCCAAAAACACCTATGGAACGGGTTGTTTCTTGCTGTGTAATACCGGCCGTAAGTGTGTGTTTTCTGACCGTGGCCTCCTGACCACAGTGGCTTATAAATTAGGCAGAGACAAGCCCGTGTGTTACGCCCTGGAAGGCTCTGTGGCCATAGCAGGTGCTGTGATTCGCTGGCTAAAGGACAACCTTGGAATTATAAAGACCTCAGAAGAAATTGAAAAACTTGCTAAAGAAGCAGGCACTTCTTACGGCTGCTACTTCATCCCAGCCTTTTCAGGGCTATATGCACCTTACTGGGATCCCAGTGCAAGAGGGATCATCTGTGGGCTCACTCAGTTCACCAATAAAACTCATATTGCTTTTGCTGCATTAGAAGCTGTGTGTTTCCAGACCCGAGAGATTTTGGATGCCATGAACCGTGACTGTGGAATTCCACTCAGTCATTTGCAGGTAGATGGAAAAATGACCACCAACAAAATTCTTATGCAACTCCAAGCAGACATTCTGCATATTCCAGTAATAAAGCCCATTGTGCCTGAAATAACGGCACTGGGGGCTGCCATGGCAGCAGGAACTGCCGAAGGGGTGGACATTTGGAGTCTTAAACCTGAGGATTTGTCAGCCCTCGTGATGGAGCGGGTTGAGCCGCAGATCAATGCCACGGAAAGCGAAAGTCGTTATGCTACCTGGAAGAAAGCTACCATGAAGTCGGTGGGTTGGGTTACAACTCAGTCTCCTGAAAGTGCTGAATCTCCTGCCTTCTCTAGTCTGCCCTTGGGCTTTTTCATAGTGTCTAGCATGATGATACTAATTGGAGCAAGGTACATCTCAGGTATACCATATTAATACCAAGCATGAGCTTTCTACGTCATGGAGGAATCCAGCAATTCTATCTCTTAATGCCATGACACCATCACGGACTCTGCATTTATTTATAAACCACCTGCTGCATGACTTATGAGAACCCTACAAGTACACCTGTGGCTTGAAGTAAATAAATTACAGCAAAAATCACTACAGAAACATTTGGTGTGTTTTTTTAACATTGACAGTTAAGGTTGGGCCAGCCACATTGGGGGTTAACCTTCCCCATTGTCATAAAATTCTGCTGCATGCCCTCTAGAATAAAGAACAATCAGATTCTTTCTGAATATTCTTTCTGAAAATGTAGAATCTTTCACCAAACATTTTCTAACACTTTGGACCAGGATCTGGCTCTTTGTGCTACACACACTTAAGAGATATAACTAACATGCCAAAACTGAGGGACTTGTTATTGTTTTTAATAGACACCAAAAGTCCTATTTTTTGTATATTAGGGAGACCACAATAACTACTGAGTGTGTAATGGAAACATAAATTCTTACAATAGAATTTTAGTATTCTCATAGATTAGATACTTTCCTGGAAAATAGTTGCCAAATTAAAATTCTTCAGACATTTTACATGGTCTCCCTAATTGTACTGATTTGCTGTGTAGACACTACAGGAAGAAAAACATTTTTTCCTTAGTGTTTTTTTCTTTTCATCTCTCCATTTTATGTACTTTACTTGGTATGTATAACATATATGCTTATATACATCATTTAGAGTAGCCTATTTATAAATTAAGCTTATAGAAAGGGCAGCTTTAAGTGGACCACTACATACATAAATCTTTTAATGTAAACATCTGTATATATTTTTGGGCAATGTGTGTGCATATTACTTACCAGAAGAAACTTTTTCTTAAAGAGGCAGTGTTTAAAATTTAAGTTTTATGTTGTTATTTTTAAAAAGTGTGCTATGATTTCATTTAAGTTACTTACATTTTATGTTTTTATTTAATTGACTTAAGTGGGTATATGCTGAAAAAAATGTGGAATAGTACAGTAAACATTATTTTCAAGCAGGAAAAAAGAATTGACTACCCAAACAAAAATAACCTAGTGTGAAGTTTAAGCATATGTAAAAAAATAAAATATCAAGAAAGTTGGAAGTGGTTAAATGGAAGTGCAATAATGTAAAATTCATATACTACATGGAAAGTGGTATAACATCATTTTGAGTTACATTGATAATTAAAGATGCATATTCTAAATTCTAAAATAACAAAACAAAATATAATAAGCAAATTATATACATAAGCTAGAACCATAAAAATATTCAGTTGATCCAAAATAAGGCTGAAAAGAGATAAAAAAGAATAGGAAAATAAATTTAAAAAACAGCAGGAGAGCCCTGGCCAGGTGGCTCAGTTGGTTGGAGTGTCAGTCCTGTACACCAAACAGTTACGGGTTTGATTCCCACTCAGGGCACGTACCTAGGTTGCTGATTCTATCCCTGGTAGGGGTGCGTACAGGAGGCAACCCATCGATGTTTCTCTCTCTCTCTTTCTTCCTTCTTCTCTCTCTAATATCAGTAAAAACATACCCTTGGGTAAGGATTAAAAAAAACCAAAAAAACAGCAAGTAAATATATTTAAACCTAACCTTATAAATAAGCACATTAATTGTAAATGGCCTAATTATCTCAATTAAAATTCAAGATTGTCATACCAGATAAAAAATAAGATTCAAATATATACTGCTTCTGAGAAACACATTTCAGATATAAAGAAAATAGTTAAAAAGAAGAGAAAAAAAGATGTACCATGCTAATATTCATAGAAAGCTGGAGTGGTTATATTAATATCAGAAAGTAAATTTCAGAGCAAAGAATATTACCAGTGATAACAAGGTCACTTTGCAATAATAAAGGGGTTAATTAACCTAGGGGACATAACAATCCAAAACACTTATGTACCTAAAACATAGCTTCAAAATACATAAAGCAAAATTTGATAGAACTTAGAGGAAAAGTAGATAAACCTATAACTATAGAAGAGATAGTAACATCTCTTCCTCAACATTTGGTGGAACAAATAGACAAATTTAATGAGATATAGAAGATTTGAACAACACTATCAACCAACTTAATTGATATTTATAGAACATGCCACCCAACAATAGGAGAATACATATTACTTTCAAGTGCATATGAAACAGCTACAAAATACTCCTGTGGCCTCATTCAGGCTATTAACCAAGCCTCAATAAATTGAAAAGATTTCATACAAAATATACTGTCTGAGCACATTGGAACTATAAGTCAATAAAGATTTCTGGAAAATCTTCAAATATTTGGAAATTAAATAACCCTTTCAACAATCCATGAGTTAAGGAAACAAGGAAAATAGAAAGTGCTCGAAATTCGATGAAAATGAGTACACCGCACAGGAAAATCTGTGAGGTTCCTAAAGCAGCTCTTAGGGAGAGATTTATAGACCTGAAGTCCTACATTAGAAGTAAAACCGTGTTTCAAATCAAAACATTGGAAATAAAGTAGCAAATTAAATACAAAGTTGTTGGAAGAAAAGAAATAAAGATGAGAGCAATAATCAATGGTATAGAAAATAGAAAAACGATAGCAAAAATAAATATAACTAAAAGTTGATTATTTTGGAATATCAATAAATTAATGAACTTTTAGCCAGACTGATTAGAAAATAAGGAGATGACAAAGTTTACTAATCTCAGGAATGAGAATGATATAGAATCTAAGGATATTTAAATGATAATACAGAAACCTAAGAAAATTTTGTCAGTAAATTTGACAACTTGGATGAAAAGGAAAACATAAACTACCAAAACTCAAAAACAATAGGTGATTTGAATGGCCCAATATCTATTAAATAAATTGAATTTTCAGTTTAAAACCTCTCCACAAAGAAAACTCCAAGCTCAAAGGGCTTCAACAATGAAGAGATAAAAGCCATTCTACAAAAACGCTTCCAGAAAACTTAAAAAGAGAAACCACTTTCCAACTTATTCTATGAGGCCAGGATTACAACATTACTCTCCAACACCAGACAAAGACATTATCAGTACACGAAAAAAACAGCTGCAGGTCAATATCCTTTATAAATCTAGATTCAAAAATTCTAAATGAAATTTTAGCAACATTAATCTAATAGTATATAAAAACGGTAAGACATCATGACCAAATGGGGGAATATAAAGCTAGGGTAATGAATCAGTGTAATTAGAAAACTCAATGTACTTCACCATATTAACATACTAAAAAAGAAAAACTGCATTAGATATAACTCACTCTGACTAGAATGCCTAAAATTAAACAGATAATCATACCAAATGTTGTTAAAGGTGAAGACCTAAATCTCTCATGTGATTCTGCTGCAAATATAAAATGGTACAAACATTTTAGAAAACAGTTTGACAGTTTCTTAAAAACTAAACATCTATCATATTATTCTAGGTATCTACCCAAAAGAAATATAAACACGTCCTACAAAGATTTGTTCATAGCACTTTGCTTTGCTGTAGCCCCAACCTGGACCCATCTCAGATGTGCACCAGCAGGTGGACGGATGAAAACCATGGCGCCTGCGGTGGGAGGCTCGTCAGCAGCTAGCAACACAGAGGAGATCGAAGTGACTGCACCGAGTGCAAGCAGCGGCCGC